AAAAAAAAAAAAAAAGCACAATTAGTTATTTTTCCCCCTCAGTCAGGGCCAGAGCTTCTCTTTTTTCTTCCTTTTTTTATTCCCCCATGGCTTTTTCCCAAGTTTCCACCAGCCCTGATGCATAGTAGGTTCACAGTGGATGATGTAGACAAAGGGAGATTCTAGCAAAGAAGATACTACTTGTGTATCTTTACCAGAGCCATCCTCTCTCTGGGAATGCTGCCTTTTCCACTGAATGTGTATCATCACAAAGAGGAATAAAGAAGACAGGGCAAACTGTCCTACTTGGCCTGTCAGCCAGATAAGCTGTAAGTGACAGATGATAAACCACAGAAGTATAAAAGCAATGTTTTGCTGTATTTTTAATTCCTGCCATCTCACATTGGTTAAAATCAATATGTATTCATTATGGAAGTTTCAGAAAAAAAGAGAAATTCTTTAAAAAGAAAATAACTCAAGGTTGAGGGATAATGAGTCTTATTACCTTGGTATATTTTCTGTTATTCATTTCCTATTGATGCTGCACACTTGTGGACTCTTCTATTATGAGAAGCCAACCTCTGAACTTGCCAGAGAAGCTTTGTGGGTCTTAAGTCCACAGAATCTTAAAGTTAGAAGAGATCTTGAAAAAGTAGACCACATTTACTTGCAGCAGGACACAACCTGCTTAAACATAAGATGTGACTGCACAGTTTGAGCAATAAATGTTCTATAAAGGAAAACTAAAAATTGCTGAATCTCTATTAAGTAAGAAATGTTTAGTGTTGCTCCTTCTGTGTGTGGGGAGCTTAGACTCAATATGAATTTTTTTTCCAATACGAATTTTGATTCTTTGATTCTGCATTATATTATTCCAGAGAGATAGAAACTAAATTTGTTTGAACTGGACATTTTGCTTTACTCAGAAGTACTAAAATGGCTGACTAATCTTTCTGCTCATTTCAGAGGTCCTCAAGACAATTGATGAGGGAGACGCTGATGAGGTGACAAAGCAGAGGATTCATGATGGAAAAGAGAAGCCAGGTGCTTTATGGCACATCTATGCAGCCAAGGATGCAGAGAAGATCCGGGAGCTACTCCGGAAGGTACACACCTGGGTGAATTGTGCTCTCAGCTCCAGGGATTGGGAGGCCAACCTAGCCTGCTGAGGGTTTCTCCTGTGGAGTGTCTTGACATTAAAGACCTGTTGGCTGGGTAGTGCCTGGGGCTCAGTGCATGGGGTACCAGCCCCATATACTGAGGGTGGTGGGTTCAAACCTGGCCCCAGCCAAACTGCAACAAAAATATAGCCAGGCATCATGGCGGGCACCTGTAGTCCCAGCTACTCGGGAGGCTGAGGAAAGAGAATCACCTAAACCCAGGAGTTTGAGATTGCTGTGAGCTATGACACCCCGGCACTCTACCAATGGCAATAAAGTGAGACTCT